AGGCAATCAGTTTCCACAGGTTTTCCAAGTAAGTTCAACTCATTACTTTTTACAGTGTTGGCATTGCTATCGCCATGCTCTACTGTTTGAGCTCAGCCAACAAAGTTCAGCCAATTTTTTTTTTTCCATGTATTTTTTTCTTTTTTGGGATTCTTTGATGAATAGAAAGTTCAAAAGAACAGAATTTATTTGACAGCCTACTTCACAGTCAATTTTGATCAATTTAATGCATCCTTGCTGAATAACAGTAGTAATTTATTTATTTTTAAAAAAGAAAAGAAATCTTAGTAACCTCTAACTTTTGAACAGCAGTGTATATTATTCATAATGTAATATACTTTATAAAATAATATTCGTAATATATAATATATAACAAATGTATAAATATAGGTATAATTTAGATCTAGACCTTTCCCTCCTTTTTCCCGTATCAGTTTATTGCTCAGCTGTAACAACAACGCATAATTCTTAAAAGAGTTTTTACTGGAAACAAGTGGCTTCATCTTGTTTACGACATGATTTATGTTTAAGTCTGCCAAATGCGCTTTGTTTTGTCAACATAAACATCAATTAACCCTGTGAATTCCTGACCCTGCTTACAGGATTAAGCATTACAACCCCACAACATTTTGAATGCAAATACCTCTCATTCCTGTGAAGAGTCGTTTTATAAAACTAGAAAAGCCAAGAGTAAAAAGCACTATCAAAGTTGCTTTCATAACAAACAACAACCTGAAATCGAGCAATAAAGATAATAAAATAAACATAAAAATAAACAGCGGAGTACAAAATGTTACAACAGCCAGAAATAAATAACCTGGAGAATAAAATAGTTTAACAAACAGTCCAGATGCATAATATCCAAGAGGAACCTTGAATAAGGTTATAGATAATATAGATATAGACCCATCGGAGACCAGCAGCTTAATGGTCACTTGCCCTTTGACACATCAGGTGACAACATGCTTTCACCATAACAGCATATCACTACTTTTGTGTTGAGTAAACACAGTTTGAAAGCTATGCCGAGTCACAACAAAGACAGGGAGAGAAAGGCTTATGTGGGTGATATGGAGTCCTTTACACAGGAGATGTGGGGGCTTCTAATACAGGCTTTGTTGATGGACTCAAGCTCGACACTGTACTACACATACCTCAATTGTTGCCCAAATCTGGTTAAGTCCATTTCCTGTTCAGCCACAATTTGTGGAATGTTGGGCCATGGTCCTACTATAGTCTGCATCCGCAACTGGGTGACAGCGTGTTTGTAAATTATTTTACAAACGGAATACTTCAACCCAAACTGGCTTCTACTTTGAAACAACTGACTACTAAACTGATTAAGACACACTTTAACAAACTATATAATTTACCCATTTAAATACATATGTTACAGCTGCATTCTTACAGAACGAAATGGCATAACTTAACCCACTCATATTGTTGTTTGGTATTTCTGTCATAAAATAACTCACTGGTTCAGACATCATGTTCTGATTGCTCAGGGCACCGAGTGAAAATTACAAGCCAGAATGATTATTTAGTGCCTGTTGAAAGGAATGATTCCCTAAACAGCAATCATAAAACACAGCTTTGTTGCTCTTGTTGTAAAATAAAAACTTGGGTTATATGTAAGTCTAAGTTAGCAGTGGATATGGCCTTTTCCTGAACTCTGCTCCAGAGATCAATGTTATATCTGAGCCAGAGACCGTCTGCATCACTGATGGTGAAGTTTAATTCACTCTTCTTGAATTGTCTTCATTGAACCCCACACCTCAGAGAGAACAGATCATCAACAGGTACCATTACAACATTTTACATTACATCCAATAATAATATTAATAGAATATTAATGGAGTCTGTTTTGTATGTTACTTTAGAGCAATGCTTAAAATCTTTACTGACACAAGCCACCCCCCAAAGCCCTGGGGGAAAATTTTCTCTGCAAGGATTTATAAAAACTTTCATTAGCTAAATATTAACTAACATTACCACAGTATAACATGCTAAACAGATAATTAGTTTAAACAGATAATTAGTGAAGCAGTTAGAAATTTGTCATTTATAAATAATACGAAAATTATTTTGAAATGCTTTACTTACAAATTTAGTGTACGTTCACTATTTAATATAGTGATTACATGTAAATAAAGAACAAATACCAGTGGTAACAAAGCGATAAATAGTAACGCTGGGATAATTTTTCGATGTTTTATTCGACGTGCAGCCAGTTGGAGCGGCGTACTGTTGCTATGGTTACCTCGTCAGGAGAATGTGACTTCTGTTTGCAAGCGACTGTAACTTTCTAACTTTGGTTCAGTGATTACTGAAAGTTTGAAAATGCTGTTGAAACGAATATTTACACATAATGAAGATATGATTTTATTATAATAACTATATTATTCAAAAAGCAAGAACATTATCTATAACTTTACCACTTTTATACTCCCCACCTCTTATACAGGTGAATTCTTCAACAATTAAACAACGCAACTGTATATAACTTTATCTTTTGTAAAGTCCTCAAGCATCATTGTATTATCATATAGCTAAATTCCTCAAGGTGTAGCTTTAAAAAACAATGCACTGTATACATCACAACTGACCTTTTTTAAACTCCTCGAGCATGGCATCCAGCTTTGTATCATTGAAGACAAAATGCAGAGGGTGGCTGTAGAACTTGGTGATGGTTTTCAACGGCGTGCAGTCATCTGGATCCACAAAGGCCAAGTCCTTGACAAACAGCAAGTCCACAATATGACATCTCTCGCCCTCACACACAGGTATTCGCGTGTAGCCGCTCTCCATGATCTCAGACATGGTGTTGAAGTCCAGGATGGCATCAGCGGCGATCATGAAGCAGTCTCGCAAAGGCGTCATGACATCCTCCACAGTTTTAGTCCTGAGCTCCAGAGCGCCCTGGATGATGTTGAGCTCCTCTTTGACCAGGTCATTATACGGATCTGTCACCCTGAGCATCTCCAGAAGCTTCTCTCTGTTGTACACCGTGCCGATCTCCTGCCCCAGCACGTGGTCCAGGAGTTTACTGACGGGATATGATGCAGGGAAAGTGAGGATCATAAAGAATTTAGTCAGGAGTATAGTGTTTGCGCCCACGGCGAGCCCATGCCTGGAGCAGATTGCTTGTGGCACGATTTCCCCAAAAATCACGATCCCTATAGTGGACACCACTACAGCGATCAGCCCTGATCCTGCGATGTCATCGAGCAGGATAGTCAAAGTGGTATTGACCAAGACATTTCCCAGGAGCAAAGAGCACAGAAGGTAGTTTCCTTGGCTTCGGACTGGCTCGATCCTCTTCGCGTAATTCTTCTCCTTCTCAGTCCCGCAGTTTTGGACAATCCGGAGCTCCATTGGATCCAGCGCCATCAGTCCCAGATTCAGCCCGCTGAACATGCCGGACAAACACAACAACATGGCAATAAAAATCACCTGCAGCCAGAAAGGCAGCAGGAACTTCTTCTCCTCCACCACGATCACTTTAGTGTCATGCCCCTCGTGATAGATCCAGGTGCTCTCGGACCACGCGTCCTGCGTGCCAGGTGTGGCGGTGGCAATGCACAGGTAATACACTTTGCTCTTCTCAGTTTTTCGCAGAGGTTTCACCTCTATTTCAACAATCCCAGATGTCTTTCTGTTTACCTCCACGTTAGGAAGGATGATGATATCGGAGGATCGGATGCCGCAGGGATGCGAGGCAGGTGCGTCTCCGGGGCTCTGGCTCTCCGCAGGTGCGCTGCCGATGCTGTGTTCCGTAAAGGCGAGTTTGGACCACGTCTCGTTGTTGATGTTTTGCCCATAGACCCTTAACCTGACACGAGAGCGCTCGCTGACGCGCAAAAAGCCTCTGTCCATAAACGACACCTCGTCGGTGTCCTCGAGCCGGAGGCCAATGATGACAGTCTCTTCTGGCGCGTCTTTACCATCAATGCTACTGATCAGACAACTGCTGACAATTAAGAATATAACAGTCAATGATCTAGCCCGGTTCAGCGCCGCCATATTAGAAGTGGGCACTGCGGTCCATTGCTCTGCCATGTTGACAATGGGCAGACTTTAGTCAATGAATGTAGGATGCTACAGTCAGAGGGAATCCTCGTCCGCCTTCATTCTCTCTATAGCAATCCTGACATCAAGCAACAAGGCAGGCATTACTCACCGCGTATCACTGCCTTTCTGCACCACGATGACACACCAGCACGCTCTATGTGAACTGCTGCGAGTACAGATGCCTAATGACGGACGTTCATCTTGACCAATCCGGCCACGTATGCAAATTTAGACCGGGCGTATCCAATGACATCGCGCGAAATGTCGGAGGAGAGGCGGTGCTATCGGGCTTAAACGCGGTAGTGGGTGTATCCAAAGACCAATCAGCGGGTAAAATGAGCGGTACCTAAAAGATGGGAGTGGTCACCGGGGACCAACTGAATGTCTCCATTGAAACTGCTGCCCAACACGTTGCATTAACGTATTGACATTTCGGTTGATTCTTAAAACAGAGAAAAAACAATATGATGGATTTAGTAACCTAAGTTCTACACGAGTAAATGTACAATAATATTATGGCAGCACAGACTAAAACGATTCGCTTTCTATTTGCTTGTAAGCGCGTGTGCGTCCGTGCCAGATAATCGAGTTCGTAATGCCTTCATTCACGCGGTCATTTTGACACTTTCCACAGAGTCCAGAAAGTTTATTCTTAATCCCTTCATAGAAACACTCAAATTAATAGCAAACCAAATGATGATTTTAAATTGCCATTATTTTGTCACCTTTTTGGTGAGACTTTAAAAATTGTACATGACAAAACGATACACCATACATTATTAAAACATTATATTTAGAACTATGCAATATACACAATGAGCCATTCTAAATCTCTTATTTTGACAATTTTATATTTAAATTAAGTAGGCCTATTTTTAAAAATAATAGTTTATTCACAAAACGACAAAAGCACAGAAAGTCTTTGTAATCTCAAGATCAAACACTTTCCAAAATTACAAAACTCGACCCTAAACCAGTAACAAAAAATGTAAAAGCTTTGTAAGCAATGTAAAATGCAGAGAGAGAGAGAGAGAGAGAGAGAGAGAGAGTTTAGTGTGCATCGTTCTTGCTCTTTCTTGTTTTGAATAATAATGGAAAACTGTTTGTATTTCTATTAGTATATATATACAATAGAAATACAAACAGTTTATATTTCTATTAGTATATATATACAATAAATATATAGACATGTATAGTCCTTGCATGATTGCATCATTGTAGTCACTAAAGCCTATAAACCTGTAATCTTCCCATGCAATTTATATGCTTTGTGGAAATGTATTTGCCTGTTTTGCCTGTAGAGGGAGCCAAACCCCTGACAATAACACATATTGACTACTTGACTGTGCTCCTTTTTAAAGATCAATACCGCTTGTAGGTTACTGACATAGACAAACAGGGCAATGTAAAAATGTAAAATGTGCAAGAAGATGTTGCAGATCTGAAGGGCACAAGACCATTACAACCTTTCTTAGCTCTGTAAATGTTTCTAGTTTGATTTATTATACAATGAACATATTATTTATTTTTGCATCTATTCATATCATAAATTAAATAATAATAGTCACTAAAGCCTGTAAACCTGTAATCTTCCCATGCAATTGATATGCTTTGTGGAAATGTATTTGCCTCCGTTTTGCCTGTAGAGGGAGCCAAACCCCTGACAATAACACATATTGACTACTTGACTGTGCTCCTTTTTAAAGATCAATACCACTTGTAGGTTACTTAGATAGACAAACAGGGCAATGTAAAAATGTAAAATGTGCAAGAAGATGTTGCAGATCTGAAGGGCACAAGACCATTACAACCTTTCTTAGCTCTGTAAATGTTTCTAGTTTGATTTATTATACAATGGACATATTATTTATTTATTTTTGCATCTATTCATATCATAAATTAAATAATAAGGATATACAAACTAAAAGGGCATATTCTTAAATGGGGGATTTTCATTGTGTGAGAAAGCACTCAATGTTGCTTTGAGCTATTGCTATGTACATTCCACATAATTTATGTGAATGTACATACGCTATTTTGTATATATTACATTGTAAGACATTATCCTTTTGAAAAACCTCCTAATAGTAATGATTAACTCAAGACTTGCTTTTACACAAACTCTTGGCAGATTGCAAGACTTCATTATTATAGACCTTGGGTACTGATAAGTTGGACTGGGGAAGTACAGCACATTCTTTCCAATTCAAGGTCTTCCATGATCATGTGAATGGGCAGATGTGCATAGTGCAAGACCATTTACCAAGCACTTAAAGTTAATCTTTGTTATTTATTATAGCTGTTAATATTGCATAACTAATATTTTTTCCCAGAATTTTCCATTTTTTTATTTTCTTGTATATTGCTCATTATTTTATTAAAAATTAAATAACGTATTCTGTACATATCAACATATTATAAATGCGGTTGTTACCATCCAATGTATCGCGCAATGTTGAAACCAGCAGACACTGATGCTCATGGTTATATTTTGACAGTAATGCAAAAAATATATGCACAAGTCTTGCAGACACGAGTCAAAACTTAGTTGAAGTGACTAGTTATGCTCAAGGCCTTGCTCTAGGTCTAGGACATCCATCTGCTTGCCGTTGCAGAGGAGCTGCTGATAAACTTTATCACATATCCCTGTGTTGGACTTTCAACAAAGGACACGTTATATTCATTTGCTTTAGTTTTCCACAAACATTTAATAAAGCCGCTCCAAGAACTAAAACATATAAATTAGTTAAATGTGCAGAAATTATTCTGTGTAGCATTTTATACAAATATATTCAAGTAAATCTGGAACAAAAATAACACCATAAAACAAGACATAAATAAATTAACAAGAAAATACAATTTGTACAGTTGGTGTACAGTGAATTGGGAAACTTCCACTATACAAGATTTAAAAGTCTAAAAGCAAATGTTCTTACACAAACTTAGGCTTAAAAGATTAGACAAAAACAGAGCATATTGTTTTGACATTTAACATTGTATAATTTCAAAAAGACAAATATGAATACTGGAAACAATCTCCCACAGAAAAGCCTTGACTTGAAGGTTTTATGCACGTTTTTCACAACCATCCAGAAGCAGGTCATAAAGAATTGGAGGATGTTGGCCTGTTTTTTTTTTTTTTTTTTAAATAGCAATCTGCTATGCAATAAGCCATCATATGCGGTCTCAAAAAAATGATGTGATCTACTGTTAAAAAAAAAATCAATGAAAAACTAGAGAATGCAATATTCACAGCATGTTATTAGAAGGGCTCCATTATTTCATCAAGTGTTTGAGCTGGTCCTGCAGGTATTTGGAATGTTCGACACTGTGAAAGACATTACAGATGAAGAGTTACCAAACGCTTAGAGAAATTCACCAAAAAATATAAATAAATGCAATTATTTAAATAATTTGAATGACCTAAATATAATGACTTACTTCTTTTGAATGGCCTCTTGCCTGGATTTAAAAGATATAGAAATATATCAGATTTCACAGATTTCAGTTTTCTTTTATTTAGTCAAAACTATGAAATAACACAAATTAAAGTATGGGAATTATGTAGTGCCAAAAAGGTTAAACAAATGAAAAACGTTTCTTTGTAAAGGAATTCAAACAAAGGCACAATTTTTATTAATATACAAAATGAAACAAAAAACCTCTGGGTCCAAAAAGTATTTAAGGTTATGAGATTCACAAGTGTTTCCTTTTACTAGTACTGTACAAGATGTTAATGCAGATAAATGCAGTATGTATGTATACTCGTCTACTTACTGATACTGCAAGTGGGTTGTTATAATAGACATCTTCCGTAGACTCTGTAAGAATAAAGATACTTGGAGAAGTTAAATCTGCTTTACTAAATATGAAATACTACTGTATCATATTTGATACATGAAATTCTAAGGCCTCTAAATTATCAACATGATAAAAAACTGAAAATTCCGTTGTACACAATCTATTACATGCCTTCTACCTCAGATTGATAGTTCATACTTTTTTAGCAAGTAAAACACCTTTTAGAATAATCCTAAAAGTGTCCTACTTCAGGTTGTGGTACATGTCTTTTTGCGGTGAAATCTTTATTGATTTTTATAAAGTAAATGTAAGAATAATTTTAATATACTTAGTAATATTTCAAGATGAACATTTACTGGAATGAAGCAATTTAATAAGTTTACTTGATAATCCATACACCATTTAAAAAAAAAATCATATTAAAATCTAAGCATAAAATATGATACAACAGTGTTTTGAGGACTGTTTAATTGTACATATCTCAATCATATTGTATTGCATTGCTTTATTTGCCCCCCACAATAATCATAAATCATAAAACTAAGGTTTTAAATATCAAGAATAATCATAAATCATAAAACTAAGGTTTTAAATATCAAGAAATATTACTTTATATCACTTACATCTTCAGAATGCAGAATTGCATCTTCTTGAATTACCATATTTCTCGCTGCCTGACTGAGTAGCTGTAAAGTAGAAGGGACAACTGTTAATTTTATGAGGTAACTGCATTCATCGGCGTCAAAAACTGGACATTACAGCATGCCTGGACATCATATGATGCCAATCTTTGGGCTATAATACCTAAGATATACTAAGTTTTGAGGCTTGTCTCCGGTGTGTATTACTGTAAGGAAGAAACAGATAGTCGAGCAAATATCTCGCCTTAATCAAACCATATAACGTTTCGTATATTTACTTCGTGGCTCCTGGATCCTTTCAACACCTGACGGGTTAGAGCGATCACATCTCCACTGCAGGAAGTGACTTTATCAGACAATAATCCTTTAACAGATTGACCGAAGCGAGGCTGCGTCTCGGAGGAAGCCATCACTGTTTACTACGGCACCAGGCGAGGGACAATTTCCAATATAAACGCGAATAACACGGACGAAAGGATGCAAGTAGGCATAAGATGTTTAGTTACTAGAAAAAAAAAAAACATTTAATAACAAAGCACTTCACATTCAGCCAAGCACATTTCATATTCATTCCATTTTTGTTATTTGATTGCACTGTATTTTATGTATCCTCGTTTTTTATTCTTAACTATTTTAAATCATTTTCATTTGTTTATTCTTTGCTTTTATTGTGATTCTTTTTATGCGTATTTTAATTCCTTTTTATGTAAAGCACTTTGAATTACCATTGTGTATGAAATATGCTATAAATAC